AGTAACGAGGCTGGGACAGGCCCAGCACAGGAAGACAGCGAATGTTCCCACCAGCGATCCTGCAGCAGGAGGGCTGCTGTTTACCGGGCCTACTCTGACATGTGCTCACCTGTGCCACTCGGGCCCCCCTCCCCCACCGTCGCGCAACAGGCGGCCTTTGTCTTTATCCCTCATCTGAAGAGCGGAAACAAAGTCAAAGGAGAGAAACTACAAAGAGGTGCGCCTTTGTTTTTTCGGTATATATGGATTGAGTGGTGGAGGGGGAGGGGCAGTAAATTATGGATGAAGGGATTCTTGCTGGGATGAAAGCAGAAGATCAAAAACACCACCTTATCCAGGCCACTACAGGCCTTCTGAAGCATGGCAAATGATACCGCATCCTCTGTAACTTAAATTTGCTTCTGTTGCTATGATCCCACTTTCAGAGCAGTATTGGGTCTTATTTCACCTGAAACTACATTGTACTGGTACAAAGTATAGTGCTGTACTGTTTTACAGAAAATACCGCAAGCCTATATATATATTCACACAAGCAAACCTACTCATACGAAATCTTCCTTCTTGGTATTATTGCATCGGCCCACCGCAATGAACACGCGTCAATAATGGCCACTTTCTGCAAGGCACTGCTTTTATGAGGGCAAATACGAGCCGAAGAGAGACAGAAAAAAAAGTCTTCTCCCAGCCAGGCAGGCAGCCACCCACCCAAACACACACACACACTCGCTCTCTCACTCGCTCCCCCTCCAGCCCACACTGCTCAATCTGCGCTCATTGTGGTCATCCTGTCTGTTAGTCTCCTTGTCTCAAGCTTCCTTTATATCCGCTGTTCACGTCAATACTAATTGATGGTAATGCCTTTAAAGCACTTGAGTAAAAAATGTACATAACCCGGCTATCCTTGAGATTAATTATCAAATGGAATAAGGTGACACAGTAAGCATAATCACCATGATGCAATCAGATGGCTTAATATGAGCAAAGACGTTCCATTATTTTTATTGAGGGCAAACACTTTCGTAGTAAATATGTCGATTTCTCAGTCCTTCCCTCCCTCTTTTTCTTTCCTGGGAACCACGCTTATCGGATATTAAGATCAAGCTCCTCTCAGCTACCAAAGAATCTGAACTTGGCTGCCACTTCAAACTACGTTTCATATTCATTTCTAACCTACTTTTTCCAAATGTCGTCATCTGCAAAAATGCATTATCTGATGAGCTCTCTGACGAGGAATATAAAAAGCTCTTATTTCTGAAAAAAAAAACGGAACAAAAAGCAAAGCCAATTGTGAGATTATGCTGGACTAAGTTTTATGTCCAATCCAGGTTTAAAAGTCAGAGGAATCAGTAAAGGCTCCAAGACCTTTGTGGTTTGCTTAATTAGGCTTAGTTATGATTAATTAAGATGGCAGCCAAACCTGGGAATACTTCTATTCCTCTACACAGAAGTCCCAGCACACCTTTTTTAAATTTTAGAGAGATGGGGCTAACACCTTCCCGTTAATCTTCTGGTGGATTTACAATTTACAATTCGAGTCAAAACAGCTGATCAACAAACTGTACGGAGGCTGCTGTTTATAGTGAAACCTCTTTATCATTTCTTATTTCCACTTATCTTTAGTGAAATTAATAGAACCACTTTAATCTTGTTCAATGGGAGTGTGTGATTCGAGGTAACCAAGTACGACAGGGGAAAAAAATCTACATGCTGGAGGAGACGTGCAGATATAGAAATGATCCTTTATAAACAGCATCACAAATAAGAGCTAATAACAGCTCCTCAGGTTATAAGATCCTACACCATGGGATGCATTCGAGAAAACATTTGAAAAAGGAACAGCAGGAAACCGAGAATGTATGATATTGTTACAGCAGCAGTAATAATAAATCCTTTATTTAATCCTGCTATTTAAGACAGCTATTAATCCTTTATTTAAGCCAGCTAAAAACAAATTATCATTTACAAATGACCAGTGAATCTCCATCTCAAAGAAGACAGCTCTCATTGTTTGAAAGGTCTTCAGAGCAAAAACATTTAAAGAAGAACAAAATCCTTTGACCAAATCACACGTCTTATATCATATTTGAAAAACCATAGCATATCATTCTCTTAGTCCCGGTTTCCTAAAAATATGTATTTCTTGGTTTGTCATGACTGGAAAAGCTTTTCCGCACCCAGAAATAGAAAAATATAAACACCATTAAAACGCTATCATGAGGCACATGCTTCTAATTCAAGCCCCATGAACACAGCTTGCAGTGCGTGACTAGGAGGGGATGTGTACATATAGACGTAGGCAAAGTAGCCTTTGATATCACAGCTTGGAACAACAAAGCAAGTTAAACACGAAGGCAGTCCCATCGAATTCCCCCCCCAAAACGGACTTTATGCTTAACGACTCTGAATGTTCCTCAAGCCCCAGTCCACAGGCCGTCACTGGTCCCAGGACCAATGCTGACCCGTCCCTGTCGTAGCCCTTGCACTGCCAACCAAACTCTATTCTTGCTCTGGCCTGTCATTTAGCCCAAGAACCACAGGGAGCTGGTCCCTGGTACAGAGCAGTGAGTAACACTGTTCTAGGAACTCAGTTACAACAAGACTCCAGGAGTATTTCGAGGGTGTTAGGAAAGGGGGAGAGCAGAGCACAAAAATATCTCATTTTTGCAATGCTGCTGGTTTACTTGGTGGCTTGGGCACGGAGGAGCGCATCTTAATTGTTTGGCCACGCTCGACTCCCCCCACCCCCGAAAAGAAAAAGTCATTTAAGATCAAGATAGTTCACCAAAACAATGCTTGCTTTAAAGTCGCAGCCCATGTGACAACAAACAGGGCAGCTATTTTTATGCCCCCACATCCCAAACTTACAATCACCCGCATTCCCCTTAACATGCAAACATTTACATTTCTTCCTGGTGCACACATCACCCACCGCAAAAAGCATACAGCTCTAGATATTTTTCCAGACATTGGAAGCTGCTATCAAAGCTTTTCCACAACTATTCAAATTGAATTCAAATACAACCCCTGGGGACTTTTTCAATTGAGGAAATATGACTTTAAATTCTTATTTGCTTAAAGAAATAGGAAGTCAATTCATTTCACAGTTTGTTTAGAATCAGTATGTAGGAGCAGGCAATAGCTGAATTATTTTACTTAACTGTGCTCTACATCTTGCACAACGTCGTGCTCCTCACTCTTCAGTAAATGACCAACGCACTTGTGTTCTTCACCAGTTCCATCTGCTTGTGCGATTTAAAACTTTTGTCATTGTCTTTAGTTTATAGATACAAAAGTACGGTATGAGCCTCCTACTCATGAAATATCCATTGCACTGTCCCTCACTACCCTCAAAACACATTAATGACTTCCCCTCAACTGAATAATCCTGAGCAAGAAGAACAATCCTCCCTACAGAAATCTCAGATTAATTCACGTTTTAAAGGGAATACAATCAAATGTCCAAAACAGAACTAAAAAATGGACCATAACAGTGTAAAGTCAAGCTATTCAGTAGCAGAGAACAGTCTGCAAAATTATTCTACAAAGGTATGTGTAGATACGGTGTTCAGGGCACAGACCAGATGAGAAGACTGTTCCTCCATTTGTAAAAATGTTTACATGTGTTTCCGCGAGCTCAGAAATGTACATTTCTCCTCAACCATTTCTTTTTGTGTGTTTTACATTCCAGCAAAAAATAATAAAGCCGAAACGAGCGGCAGAAAAGAAAAGGACACATCTGGAGCTTGTTAAAGAGCTCCAACGGGGACATTGCACATTTAAATGAGGGCTATTATCTTAATCAGCTCCATATACTGTACCAGAATCTCAACCCTACAGAAGGTCAAGACCCGGGTGATGCAGAGAAGAAGATTTCTTAAAGACCCTGGAGACAGACACTTCGCGCCTTCCTTCCTCCTAGTGTTCCAAGAGTTAAGACTTCTCTCGGATGTATTCCAGGTGACCCTTCACAGCTAGTGTGGGCACTCAGAATCAATTTTGTGAAGGAAAAACAGAACAAAAAGGCCTGTATTAACAGCCTTATTGTAAGGACTGTCTCCACGAGTTAGAGGAGAGAATCAAAGACAGACTAAGCTCGTCTTCTGCTGCGGGTGAAGATCTGTTGGGTTTGAACTGCAGAGAGGACCCCGCCACAGACGTGCTTTTCAGATGTAATCAGCAGAGGCTCAGATGAAGAACTAAAAAAAAAAAAGAGGGCCAGAAACAAGTCCAGAAAAGCCAGTGGCTGAAGTTCCCCTGACCCACTCTCACAAACACAACTGAGATAAAAAAAACAGGTAGCTGAGACAACAACGTCGATACTAACATGACAAGCACCTGCAAGAACCCATCACTGTGTGTCAGTGGACAGCAAACATCTTCGCCAAAACAGGGCTGTACCTTACTGCGAACGCAGTCCAGTTTAGGGAAAGAGGAAGACGTTTTTATTTTAAAAACACTTTATAAAACTTTCTGGTTCTTCTCAGTAGTTCACAACAGTCTATTCTCAGCTGTACCATGACACCTTATATTTACACAGCCACTTGAAACATCAGTTTACATCCCTAACAACTAAACAGCTCTAACATGTGCCAAAATCAGTGTGCAGTGTGCTATCGACCGAAGGTTAATAATGCACACTTGGGACACTTCCCCGATTTATCGTCTACTTCAATACATTTTCAGTTTCCTTTCTAAAGATATTTAGAAATTAGTTCACGCAATCCGAGTTAGAAAAATCATATTCCCTTGTGTGTATCCGTTCAGCAGTAATCCCAAGTACATTTTTTCCCCAAGGTGACTGCTTTTACGACATCAGATTGAAATTGTATGCAAAGATCGAAGGTGGTGGAGGTGTGTGACCATTAAAGCCCCATGTTTAATAAGTACAGTGACGAGCACCCTAATAAAACACCTGACAAAACCTTGAAAACCAATAAAAATAAATAAATAAAAGCTGGAAATGTCAAACTGATAACACACGTAAGGTTCTCGTTTCCTACCTGTCTTGTGACTGCTCCTCGTACATCCTCTCCTTGCCTTCCTTAAAGAGGCGGATTGCTCTTTTGGATTTCTTTATCAGGCTGTCGATGTATATTTTAAAATACTCGTTCTCGCTCAGCTGCGTCAGTCTCTGAGACTCCTCATATTTGCACAGTATTAGCCGAAGGTGTTGGTAGGTATCAGGCAGGATATCCAGGATGTAAGGAGGGCTGTTTTTCAGCTGCAGTCGTGGATTTTGGCATAGTCTCACCTGGGGACACATTTCAAGGGAACACAATGAAAGTGGTCTTTCCTTTAAGAACAGAATTTCACTGTACTACAGGCTCTCTGCTAAACAGTGTCCTTATTGGATGTGGCAGGAAATGCGTTTTAAGGTAAAACTGGTCTTAAGTGCAGTATCTGGCCTAGAGGGGCCACACTGTTGCCTTGCAGCGCTGAGGCCCTGGGTTTGATTCCAAAGCTGAGTTTCTGTCTGTGTGGAGTTCGCATGTTCTCCTCTGGTTCGCATAGGTTTCCTCCAGGTGCTCCGATCTCATCCCACAGTCCAAGGACATACTGGGAGGTTAATTGCTTCTGGAGACTTCGGTCCCGTTAAGAGTGGATTGTCTGCCCTGTGATAGGACTCATGTCCCATCCAGGGTGTATCACGCCTTGTGCCTGTTGCTTGTTGGGATAGGTTGCATTAGATGACGCCTGTACAATCCTGTGCTGGATGAAGCAGTTAAGACGTTTAAACTTCTATAAATATGTCTCCCCCCCCCCAGTATGTGAGATTAGTACAGTACTCTGTGGGGAAAAGATACCATCATGGCAACGTTCACTATCATGAAATGCAATGTCTGTAACGACATATACTACCCAGTTCTGTATAACACTCCTTGAATGTTACAGCAATGGTTACCAATTTCTTTGTTGCTACCGCCTTCCACAATGTCACTAGAGAGCAGAACGAAACTGGGGACACATGCAGTATTATACTTTCCCCCACAGACTGGAAAACTGTCAGAAACTTTCATATTAAAATACGCAAGGAACTGGTTAATCACAGACAGCCATGTGAGCAAATTATTCAAGAACGTACTGAAGATGATGGTCCAGTGTGCTACTGTGTACAGTATTTTAAATAGTAACACATCTCCCAACAAATTACAGCTACAACCCTGCTCGAGTTCACCCGCAAAATATAAATAGCAGTCCTGCGAGTGCGAAACGAATCAAGTGTGAACAGCGGAGTAATGAAGCAGAACTGTATTGTCTTAAAAAATAACCTCACCTACAGTACACATTGAGCTCAGAGTGCTGTTCTGGTTTCGCCCGAGATACTTCACTACTCTCTCCCTCCGTCCATTGGAATCATTTTTAGAGTGATTAAAAGCCAATAAAAAAAAAGTCATTACCGGAATTTAAAGAAAATGTCACTAGGCAGCCTACGGTTTACTTGAATCGACGTTACTGAATTGTTTTGGTTCGTATCTGTCCACAGACATGAGAGAGAGAGAGAGAAAAAAAAAACATTACAAAACTGTTCCTACTGCCGGAGCCGGAACGCGGATGGAAAAGCTCCGGCCGTGGCGTCACGATGAAGGTTCAAACGCTGTTTACTGGACGTGGGAAGGACGCGATCACAGCCCCGCTGAACCCCTTAAGCCGATTCTCAATCGCCCCGACTCCGCCGGCGAAGAGATCAGGATTTGGGGGGACACTCACCACTTTGTCCATAAGTTTCCACGTCTTCTCCACTGTTCGGCGGTCGGCGGCAGCCTGCTTCGGCGGTCCCACGGCGTCCTGGATGGACTCGATGAAGCCCAGAATCCGGCCTTTCCGGGGGTGAGGTCCGCGACCACCAGGGTTTCGTCCACTGAGCGCAGTTGCCATTTTCTATACACTTCAAATACAAAGAAGCCCCCTTCAGCTGATCGCCGGATACACATGCGACAAACCCGGACAATAACAAGATCACTCGCAAAGAACCAGACATGAACTGCTCGAATGTCACTTGCCACCTACAACGCATCTAAAAAACACATCCCTGCATCACGCTGCCCATCATCTAGTTGGATCGCCACCAGTAGATCCTGTTGCTGCTTTTTTACTTCCACTAAGCAAACGAAAGCCGACATGCCTCAACTTCTTAGGTGCGAATCCACATCCTGATTCTCAATACAAATCGGATGTTATTTACTACTTACGAGAAACGAATGCAACCATCTACTTGCAATTCTCGGCATAAACAGAAAAAAAAAATCCTGCGCTCCCAACATTGTGTGGCCGTGTTTAGTGGTTATGCTTCCCTGGGTTGGGAGTAAACTACTTGTACACATGGGAGGAAAAAAAAAACGAAAGCGTTTCCTAATTAAACTTCAACGGGGATCAAGCTACCGTTTCCTCTTAAGTGCTTTGCTTCACAGATCCCGGGTTAACATTGCAAAGGGAACATTTCCCCCAAAAGATATCTTGTAAATCCAGACTTACTGCGGCAAAAACAAGGAAACTGTCCGAGCAGGAGCGAATGTCAACGTAGGGTTGCTCAGCTGTACTGGTGCGTGTTCCCTCTTCACAAAAATGTTTAAAAACCAGGAGAAGAGGGGAAAAAAAAAGCACCAAAGCGATTAAAAACCAAACCAAACCAAACGAGCAGGGAAACTCGGAGAGCGCGTTTTATCTCTCAGTCGCTCCGGATGATTGTGCCATGATTAGTCCCAAAGACAAGTCCTTCCTTTCTGAATCAGAAGATTTCTCTCCCCCCCCCCCTCTCCCCTGTTTTTGACGCCGGGCCGCCAGAAATCAGCAGGCTTTTAAATCCTTTGGCAACTGAAAGCAACAGCGAGCGTCCCACTTACTCTGTACTCGCAGCGAGGAGGAGGAGCGCAGAGGGAGGCAGGTTAAAGAGATCGCCGAGAAGCAACCTATCAAACCCCCAGATCGGACAGTGATCCCCGTGACGACCTTGATAGAACCGCCTTATGGCCAATATACATCTAACACACTAGGAGGAGGGGTGGAGGCGAATCCTCTGTTTGCAAGTTGAGCATCAAATTACTGTACGTTGCTGAAAAGGGTTTTGGAGGCCGTCCTTCCTCAATGATATGCACAGCTTCGTGCATTTTTTTTTTATATGCAGCTGGTGGAAACAAATGGGTTGTTGTCTGTGTAGAATTAAAACACGTGCTTCCCAAAATAAATACCCCGAGGTTATAGTACAGCGTTAATTATACCAGCCGAGGACAGGCGCAACATAGACACCGAGCGAAGAAGCGAAAATACAGAGTTCATGCTTTCTTCGCTCCTTGCAGACTGTAATATAGGTTCATACTTGTCAGAAGTTGAAAGCGAGCAGAGGCGTTGCAATCTGTCCACTGAAACTGTTTTAATCAGAATATGAAATGCAGTGCGAAGTGGCTTTCTTTACAGAATAAGTACGAATTTGAACTGTACTTCGGCTTTATAATCAATATAAGCAATCTTTTTGATTGGTTTTCTGTGTTTTTACAGTCACAAAAGGTTCATTCTCTATCCCATATCAATTAATATATTTTTTTTTAATTTTAAAATTCCTCAGATTTAATTAAACCCCTCACAATGACTTGTGAATCAGTGTGCATTACTGAGTACACAGTGAGATAAAGGTTCTGCAGAAGACTGCTGTAGCACCCTTCTGCTTGTGTCAGCTACAGGTCATCTACAGGTCATCTCTACAACCAGCATCTAAAATCTGACAAACAACATTAGAAAGCTGGACATAGAAAAACATGTCCTAAAAAGACAGTAAATGGTAAATTAAAGGTCGAAGTAAAGGCAAAAGTGAATATGTTAAAAATGACATATTGTACACATTACATATTGTAGATTAACAGCATCATGGTCTATATAAGCAGTGATACTACTGAATATGTAATTGTAAATATGTGATGAACACTTTGGCCCCTGTTTTAAGCTGATAAAGGCTACTCTTTTTGACAGATTGAGGTTCAACCACATTTCATGTGGTTTAAGTTAGTCTTCAGGGGGATTCCTGAAACTGGTGCTGTTGACAATAGAAAAGGCTGATAGGTGACAATCCAGTAGAGATCTAGAGAATCATTTTGCTGCAAGCACAGGAGTGTTCACATTTCTTGAACAGCTGTAAGATGCACATTCGCGCAATTTTAGCCCAATGTTAGTGGGCCTGTAGGTGCTCAGAAACATTTGTTTCGTACCTTTAAGTTTGCTCCCACTCCCAAGAATGTATTTTAATTACTGAACAGTGTCTTCAGATGAAGAAGGCTGCACAGCCGACATCTATTTACTTTTCAGCATGGAATAAGCCTCTAGGTCTGCCTTTGCAGTTCACACACTGCTGCAGTTTTAATATTTTAATTATGCTTCCTATTCCAAAAAAAAGACCAATTACAATATGTTATGTTTATTTCTAAGTTGCATGCAGATATAACAATAAACAAACTGTTTCTATAAGAGCTTCAAAAGAGTTTACAGAACCTCCCTGGGGCAACAGAAGCTGATAAGACACAGCTGTCAAGAAATTGTGTTCTGCTTATCTGGGAGGGGGCAGCTCTTGCTGGCCAACTGAACCAACTCAGGCCAAGTCAACCTAACGAGCAGTGACACTTCTGTCACAATTTCTCTGAAGTGTGAAGTGAAGTCTCCGTAATGAAAATCCAACATCTTATTTATTCAGGTTGCCTCATCAATGGAGAAATTCTAAATAAAGTGGTCATGTTATGAAAAAAGGGGCCTTAATGAGGGTCATCATAGTCCAGGTCATCATATATGTGAAGGTGATTGTCCATATTAATATCTTAATTTTGGAAAAATGAACAAGAAAAGAAAAACTGATTAGCATCCTGAAAAACAACAGCATCAGACATGAAAACATTAATGCATGTGGAGTTTATGCTACTGTATAGCATGAAGACTCATTGCAGGAGTCCAGTTCAGGCCTGCTGCGAATTTTTATAGAGCTGTGTTTCACAGACTTCATAGATCAAGTTACATTCTTGACAGACTGACTAACCTGTATAAACTACTGTGTAGATCAAAGAACATACCTATGTCTAATCTCACCACAGAGAGTCAGAGTATTCCTAGTCCCATAGTTTCTGAAAGTACATTGTCATTCAATACATAACTATTAACTGTTGTTCATTATCTTTTTGTATGCCTTGCTGGGGGCATTGTTCATGGATTAAGTCTTGGACTAAGACATACAGTATATGTACTCCCATTTCAGTAGTAAAAGTGAGTTATACTTCACTGATGAGCTCTCATAATGTCAAACAGCTGTAAATGGCTGCTTACCTTGACTTTACATATGCAAAGTAGTGTCTGCTTTAGACGGTTTTAATAGTCTTAGACGTCTATTCAGATGGCTCTACTTTTCAGCAAAATGATACCACTAATAATTATTCTCATAATAATTGTGTCTGTCTGTCACTTATTTAGCATACAGAAGGCTAACGTAAGGCAATTTCAAAAGCTTACAAGAAGGAATATGCTATAGTACATAATAAATAAAATAAAAAGACTAGTTAAAATAATAGAATGACTCAGAACGCAATAGTGCAGAAAACAACAATGTAACAATGTGGTAGAACCATCTGTGTGCTTCACTTTCAATGCAGTGGTAAGCACTGGTTTTGTATTACCTTTTTAAAGGAACTATGTTATATCTTACTGTATATAGAGAGAAGCAAATCTTTTTTTTCTCTTATCTGCAATTACTGTTATGCACTAGGCACTGTGGTACATATTGCAGAACTGTGCAATTACATGTTCCTAGATATTAAAGCAATTACTTTTGCTATACCAGAGGGTACCAATGATAAAAATAATTGATTAAATCAGGAGTCCTGGATTTCAAGAATAATATTCTCTAAAGTCAGAGGGATGGAATGAACCCAGATGGTCATTATGACACTCTGGCTCATATAGCACATTGAAAAACACAATTTGTTCAAGAATTCTTTTAATAACCAGCATCAAATCTAGAGGTTTTATTTATGCAACATACTGTAAGTCTTGAATATGAAGTGTTCAGAAATCAATTTCAATGTTTTTTATGCATTTCTGAACTTATGCATGAAGGTTCTGGAAGTAGTTGATATTGATATTAATCTTATACTGGAGAAGAATATCAAGTGAAATCTGACTTTTCAGTCAATGCAGGGACAGGAGAGACTGATATTAAACCACGATTAATGTCCTCGAGAGAACAATATTAAAATGAGAGGTTTCCTTTCAAGTCCAGAATAGAAAGCAAACCAAAATAACAAATAGAAACACACAATTATCGTGATCTTTTAGACAATCGTGTCTTGTGTTCTTTCTCCTCTCCTAATACCACTCATTTGAGCAATCTGGAATTTGATACAAAGCAGTTTCTTAAGGCTACTGACATGCATGACACTTTTAATGAAAATCAGACTGAGCGAAGCTCTTAACCGCAAGGTCACTTGATATGGGATCTCACTTATTAGTTCACTGAGCTCAGTGGCCTGCTAGAGTGAGTAATTGCGGCGACACAACATCATATCCACAGAAACGTGATCCAAAGTCCTCTGGACACATGCCACTTTGAGAAAAAGAAAGCGAGAAGCAGGGTCACATTGGTCTTGACATGCGCAGCTTTCTTTTCTAACCAAGAAGGTTCTAAGTTCACTACACGTCTGAAAGTGGGCTGGGTTTGTAAGTGTGAACATTAATTTATGCATCTCATTTTACCAATATGAAAAGCAGTGACAAAGATGCTTTTTAAAGCTGTCATATTCATCAGTCTTACAAAAAAGATTTATAACAAAGGTGTTGCCGATCTGTGCATGCATGACTACTCAGAACAGGTTTACTTCAGTACTATCACCATACTGTATCTGAAACTTATTCTTATTTTTTATTCAGTAGCAATCAAGAATTATGAGTGACAAAATCTTTTTTATAACAGGTACTCTGGACAGACTTTACTGAACAGACATGAGATTGTGTTGAGTTAAATACATTATTCTGATTAACATTTGTCATTAACAAAGTTGGTCAGCATGGAGTCCACTGCGAATGATGCAGGCCAGTAGCATGTGTTGCCAGTGTTGAAAGAAATACAAACTGTACATTTGCAAAACATGCTTTGCACCAGGTTACAGAAACCGTTTTGAGGGATTCATGTGTCTGCTCATTTATAGCTAATCTCTAGGCACCAAGCATCATTCCACTCCTTGCAAGTCCAGTTGCACTGTTGCTCACACTACCTGGTTCTGTACCGGGGATGAGCATTGCTGAGCTCTGGGCACCTGTGTGGTCATCTGATCGGCAAACAATGACTGCTTAGCTGCCTCCTCACACCTGAACTGTTGCACCCTGGGATTTCTGATGCCATGGAACTGGCAGTCCGAAACCGGTCACAAGAATGGAGCATGATAGTACAGTATGTTCATTTTGGCATGGTATCCTGACTCATGATGTCCCAGATCGTGGCCAGTCTTTGACAGATTGTGTTTTGGTTGTAATGACTTGCCAAGTTAAAAATGGCTGCTTGATACATCCTAAGATGGTTGATGACAGTTAGTCCAGCCTCCCATACACAGATGGCACGAACCTTTTGTTGTCTTATCAGTTCCTATTTTTTTTTCTTGACTTTCACCAGACTTGAATTTCCGCTGGTTAAGTCACCTCATCCCTAAGCCCAATCTAAATCTAAATACAGGGATTTGAACTCCAGGTGCCAGCTCTGAAGCCAGGATTATTACCATGCTAAAACATCTTCTCAGTCTTTCATCACATGAATCCTTGAGAGAAATTGGGCATTTCAATATATATAAGAAAGCAAATTGGAAATAAGAATAAAGTTGTTCACAGGAGTAACAGACATAATCATTCCTGGGACTCGTTCTGGTACACTGATACATGATACACATTAAGCTGACTGGGCCTCATAATCAAGAAAATTCGGTCAACACCACTGCCAGTGAGCTGATTCAAGGAGGTTAGCCAAGTTATCTGAAGCCTGAGAAGCAAGCAAATTTGTCTATTTAACTACTCGAGACCTTAGCTGGTCAGTTACATTCTGACGTCAAATTAGCACGTTTCCTTGTCTCTTGGAGTGAACTTTGAAGGTCAAGCTTGCTGCCCTGTTTTTCTAAACATGTAGTGAGAGTGACCGGGGCACATTACTGCTGTTCACAGCCTATCACTCAGTTTGTATCTCCAAATCGTCTTTAAGGAGGACCTGGTTTTTCACATGCAATACCACACAGCTCGGTTTTAATATGCTTTTGTCTCGATTCGTTTCTTTTGTCCAATATGTAGCAACCATGCACAAGACTGTGTTGATGACTTTGTGTTCCTTATCAGTTCAGTACTTTAGGTTCTTCAACACAAAAAAACTACAGTTCATACTTCATGTTTTAAGTGAGGGTTGTACAGTGGCCCTATGAGCTACAGTATGTAGATTGCCAGTTAGCCTTGCTGACACCTGGTTCTC